GTGGACGTGACCCCTCTCGCTTCCTTGGTCGTGCTTGAGGTTAGGCCTCCCAGCCGGCAGCCCGCTCTTCAGGCTGAAGAGTGCGCGCCCAGTCTCGATAGCAGTATTGGTTTTGGTGATTGCCTACCTCACTGAGGGTGGAATGCCATAAAAATGCACCACTGTATAGTTTTATGCTAATTATATTGCAATTTAGAGGGTTTTTTTAATGAAACTTGAAAAACAATCCAGTTCGTCCTCAGTTCTGGCTTCTGATGTGTTCTCTGGTTCCTGTTTGCAGAGTACCGTCCATGATTTGACAGTCCACCGTGCAACTCCTGAGGATATTGTAAGTTTAACAGCGATCACTGCTCCTTCTCTGTAGCAAGGAGATTTATCTGGTTTTCTAGCATAAGTGTTTGCTATACTTATGGGGCTATTTTCTGCCAGTGTTTAATCTGCCTTTTTAAGCTTCTGAAAATATTGGTTCTTTAGTGTTCATTCTTCGTTTATGGTATCATGCATCCCCAGCTCTGGCAGTTGGTGTTTTTCAGTTTTCTTTTTCCATTCAGAAGCAGTAGCTGTAGTTTTTATTACAATAATGTGTATACTATCATAAAAGCATAAATACCTAAAACCACAGTGGAGTAGGTGGAGTAGTTGAAGTTAAGTCTCATCTCTGCTTGAAGGACTGAAACACATGCTTTATTTTAGGAATCTCTCTAATTCTGAGGATACTCAATTTTCATTTAAACAATTTAACATCATTTCTTTATACTGAACAACCTGTTCATTACAAAATACGTGAATTCCATTTCATTTTCCTTGGTAGCCCTGATTACCACGATGGAATAGGCAGTATGAGCTGTTGCTGCTTATAAATTTTGACAGGTTAGTCAGGACAGGTGGGCACAATAGCAGAGAGAGACTTGTTTCTATAAATGGTTGGCTTGATAGCTTCCAGACACTTTAGCAAGCACTTCACACATTTAATTTGTTTAATTTGTATTTAAACTGAATATATATATATATCATTGTTAGAAGAAGGGAGGAGTATCTCTGGTGACTGACAGTGTTAAATCAGGAAGATGCGTTATGTCCTTTTATGCATATTATAGGTGGTAGTGTTTGGTTTTTTCCTCCCTTTACAGCTGAGAAAACTCTTACTGAGTCAGTGGTGTAGGGCAGATGGAAACTGTGAGACTTTCCCCATTCACCTTTGGAGCTGCTTTAAATTTGGCTAGTACTGGTAGCATTTTACATTTCTGGATGTTTGTGAGGCTGTCATTAGTACTACCATGAAGTTAACATAAATAGTATTCAGCGCGTGAATGATAAAATCAGTAAGAGCTTGTTAGCATTACCCTGCAAATTTTACTTTAGATTGTCCCTTGATTTTGAAATGGTTTCTTTCATGTTTACGTAGCTGCGTCGCCATGAAATACATAAATCAAAAAACAAAGCACTGGCGCATCTGGAATTGCAAGAGAAAGCACTGAAAAAAAAATGGAAGAAGCAAAAACAACTGGCTGCTGATTCCTTGGAGAAAAGGAAATTGACTTTGATGCATGAGGTGAGAGCTAAATCTGCACTTTCCGCCTGCTGCAGATGATTTGCAGCAGCAGTGGAAAAGTGCTTTTGCACATAGGTCAACATTTGCTCCTCTTGTTGGATAATTTGACTTCATAGATGTGTACACTCTCCCTCCTCTATGTGTTGCGTGCATGCAATGATTGGAATAGGCTGTATAACATATTAACTGATCTATACAGTTGTTCATTTGATCCTTGTTGCCTGGCTATGCCCTCTGTAATTCTGCAGGCCTCTTTGCATCTGAACAGGAACTGCTTGCAGAGTTGAACTCTGTGTTGTGAAAAAGATGTGCGTTCTTATTGCTATCTTGCCTTCTCCCCCTGTCTAGTATTTTTCTTTGATGGAAGCATGAACATTTCTCTTTCTGGGAGGGACATCCTTATCTGCCATCGCTTATTTAAACAGAGAAAGTGAAGAGTCGTAGGGACTGAAAGGGTGAGGCAAGAAGTTGGTAAGGAAAGCTTGTCTGGAAGGAAAATTGACACAACAAAAGTTGAGGAGCTATGGCTGCTAGCAGACAAGCTTGTCATCTGGGGATCGAAAAGCTTGTTCTCTAGGCATTCTGAAGCACTCTGACTGAAAACGTATTGTTTAATTTGCTTTTGAATATTGAACTGTAGCAGCAAATCTAAGCTTAGCTAACAGAGACAGTAGCTGTCACTGTCTGAAAAGGGATTTCAGTGGTAGACATCCTTTTGTTTCACATGGCAGGTGACTCCTTGCCGTATGTTATGAAAACTAACCTCAAAACATAGTCATTAGCTTTCAGACCTCGTCAGCACGTGGACAAACTGTGAATTATTCTTGTTGGTAAAGAATGATGATGAACAATGTTTACCTAGCAGTTAAAATAAACATGATTTAGTAGTCCTGTAAATGTGTAGCGGATTAACCATCACAGACCTCTTCTCTCTTTCATCTTTTGTAAATTTTCAGAAGTCTTTTTCTGATCTCTGAGAACATTCAAGCACAGACAGAAACAAATGAAAGTACTTAGAATTGAAGATCACCTTCTAGTTTCCTATTTGACACCTGTTTCTCTGCAATCACAGTAGAATTTTTGTGTTAAGTATATCGTGCTAATCAAGCCTCAAATTTTAATTTTGACCTTGTTACTTTTATACTTTTCTGCCAAGTGCATTTTAATGGAGTGTTCAAAAAAGCTGTGGACTTTTATACAAATTTTCCTCATGTAATAGAAGGCTAGTTTCAATAAGACTTCCATGCAGAAATAAATTATGTATCACAAAGGTAGATTAGGCTACCCACTCTAAGATTTGGCTGGACTACCTATTATGTGACTTTGTTATTTTGCAGATGTGAAGCTCGTGGTTAGGAAATAGTCTTCCTAGTATTTGTTGCCATTTCTAATGGCAATGCACAAATTTCAATTCCTCCTGAGTAGCTTTCCCCTTCATATTTAAAAGATTACTTTATTCAACATACCCTTTGTCTGCTTCTGAATCAGAGAAAAGATGCTTCCAGATAGGAAGACAAAAGGAGATGATGCCAGGCAAGATGAAACCCATCTGACTGTTGCTGTTGGAAACACTGGCATCTTCTTGTGTATAAAGAAAAAATAGATGGAGGAGAGTCACCATTTTTGCCTGTCCCTAGCTTAAATCTTGTTAATTGCTGGGTCCTGTTGTTCAGAGTAACTGGGGAGACTCTTCAGTCTGTGACTCCCAGTACAGCACACACACTGTGGATTGTCTCCTTGTCTCTGTTACCTTGGTGATCTTTTTTCCTTATTTACTGCTGTGAGAGTGTAGCTTCCTAAGCCCCTTGAATCCTACTCAGCTGCAAAAGACTCAGAGACAAAAACTAGGAAGATGCTGCTACTAGTGTGTTTTTTCTTGTATTGTAGTTGTGAAAAGAAAGAGAGCAAAAGTTATAAAATGGGTGAGCAAAATCTTAATCTTTCGGGGATTTGTCTGCCTAAAAATCTGAATGAAAAAATAATATGAGTTCGTCTCTGTAGCTGTGGATTGTGAATGTGTAGGTATCACACTGATTGGTCATATAACAATTTGTTTTTAAAATAATGTTAGTGTATTGCACTGAAGGGTAGGTGGTGAATGGGTTATCATAGTGGGGAGGTTTTAGGATTAGTCCCATTTAATTATATGTAGTAACAAACTGAAACAGGAGGGAAGATGAATTTTAATTAAATTCATAGGTGATACTAAACTGGGACAAGGTACAGCACTCAGTGAATTTGTCAAGGGCATGTAAATGGGCCAAGAGGGGTTAGAAGCTGGTATCACTTTGTTTTCTGCTGATCACAAGCAAATGTGAGCTAATCTACCTTGGGAGCAATGCTCTAAAAATGTTCATAACATGTTGAGCAGGAGGGCAAAGCTTAGGAACCTGCTGATGCTGAAAGAGATCTAGTAAGGAAGGTGAAAACAAATTAATCAGGATAATTTTTGTCTGATTAAACACATCACTTTAGTTTTAATTGTGTTAGGGAAAGGAATCATGTTTTGGGATAGTCAAACTTTTTTCCTTTTTTCCTTTTTTCCTTTTATGTTCATAACATGTTGAGCAGGAGGGCAAAGCTTAGGAACCTGCTGATGCTGAAAGAGATCTAGTAAGGAAGGTGAAAACAAATTAATCAGGATAATTTTTGTCTGATTAAACACATCACTTTAGTTTTAATTGTGTTAGGGAAAGGAATCATGTTTTGGGATAGTCAAACTTTTTTCCTTTTTTCCTTTTTTCCTTTTTTCCTTTTTTTTTTTCTCTGGCATGACTTTGTCTAAAAACCTGCATTGTTTTGACATCAGATGGCTAAATGGAAAGACTAGATTTAGTTAGTATCAAGTCTGAAAACTGAATAGTGATTTGGAAAAGTAGATATGTGAGATGATTGAAAGATGAATATTCACTGATTTGCTAAATTGGTTATGAGGAGAAGTGTAATATACTGCAGTGTAATTCAGGCTCAAAAGACTAGAAAGACATGGAAACTAGGTATATGGGGAAACTTCTTGACATAACAAAGCGTCGTAAAATGGGGGGTGGGGGAAAACAGGTGAAATGCCACTGCCTAGAATTTTTTGAATGAAGCTGAATATAAATCAGCAAACTTACCAACGGACACTGAAAGAAACTCTGTGGAGATAACAGCATATAGTGCTCTGAAACTACCGCAGACCAGTCCCTCTTATGATTCCTGGGGAAGCAAAAATTGTCACTCAGTTCTCAAATTTTGAATGGGAGGGCATACATGAGCCTGTCTTTTCTGTGGGATCTTCTAAAGTACTCGCAGTCTCTCTGGCTAAATTTGATTACCACGATGAAGTGGAGGTCACTTGCATATCTGGTCTCCTCTCAGGTGTTTAAGAATAACTACCTTCTTCCCAGGTTGTGGGATATAATTTTACTAGTTTACCATTTCCACCTTTGTGAATGAAACCACAAGTCATTGAGGAGTTTTGAATTGCGTTCTGCCCACGAAGCCACGTCCACGGTCAGCTCCATTCAGCTCACAGTAGCTGAATGCCTCTTTCTTTGCACTCAGAAACCTGCCTCCTTAGGAGGCCGCTGTCGTGGTGCCAGGGTTGGACCTCAAATACTGGGGGAGAGAGACCTTGAATACAGAAGCTGTGCCTTGTGACAAATGTGTGGAGATTCCCAAAACGTCTTCTGATGCCAGGTGTAATGAGCTGTGTTTATGTCTATATGTTTATGGCGGTATGTGGCTTAATTTTTAGGCAGGATTTTCAATAGTGATGGCTGAATGAAACAAGTCTGCCTGAACTGGTTTGGATCTAATCAAATAGTGCAGGTTTTGGGTGTCTGTCAAATGTAGATAAGTGTTCTTTGACTCAACAACATTGAGATCAAATGATTTGAGGATGCATACTGATTTTTTTTAATTGCCAGATATATGTCTTCGTTTTGATAAGTGTGTCATATATGCCCAGCTTCTTGTTTGTGTCAGGCTGGGAGCAGAAGAAGGGAGTGAGAGGATTTGCTCTAATGAGAAAGAATCAGTGCTGATGGGTGCCCCAGAAGTAACAACTGTTTAATTTTTCGGAAAAACAAGGTGAATTCTAGTCACTCAGAATAAAGTATGGTTTTCTGATCTATCTTAATTAGGACCTAATTGCACAGTACCAACTTTGCAAACATTGTCTTGTTGGCTGTTCTCTTGGTAACTGTTTATAAGAACAATACCAAAAAACCAAAGGAAAAATCGGTACGTTCAGTATGAAATATTGCATTATATGCTATACTTTCAGATTCTGTCTGATCAATACCATTTGCAAGATGTATTGGAACGCTCTGATCAGGTTATGGCTGTGGCAAAAGACTTGTTTGGGGATGCTCCTCGCACGCGAACAGGTAGACCATCTCATTCATGTATGGTAGTACATTTAAGATTATCTCCTTGCTTTTCATAAATAGCCTCACTTTGCAAAGTATTCTTTTTAACTGTTTTCATCTCATCATCTAACATAGTATGATTGATCCTGTTCATGTTGGATGAAACACAGATGAGGATAACACCTCCCATGGCAGGGGAGAGCGAGCCATGGCTGGTTATTCTACTGTATCGGTCGATCGTGGAATTTTGGCTCACTTACTGTGAAACACCTGATACTTGCCATTTCCACTGGCCGAGCTGCCGGCCTATACAGAGCACCAGTTCAAGCCACTGTAGTAGTTCTGGTTTGCATTGCCGCGTGGGTTGACTGCGTGCTCTTGGATGTTGTTGAAGATTTATCATCAGTTCGTGAACAAGACTTCCTTTTCTTCTCCTGGTTTGTGGGCCCTGATGCTGCTGAAAGACAGGATTGGCTGTTTGCATGCGAAATCTTAAGCTTAGATTCCTTTCTGTGTAGGCTGCCATTCTCTTTTGCTTATAATGACTGTTTCATCCTATATGCTGCTTCTGCACAAGTGTATTTATGCTGGTGAGAAGGAGAAAAACCTGGTACATGGCCTAATGTCTTAAGATAACTCTATGGTTGGCCTTTGGCAGTTGTTTGAAGTGACATACATCCCTGTGACCCTTTTTGTGCAAAGTACGGGAACTTGCTTTTTGGTACAAAGTCCTGCGACATACTACAGAGAGAGTCCTCTGTGTTCTTCCCTATTCTGTCTGATTCCTCTAGGTTTCGCTAATGTAACAATGGCTCCTAACTGTGACCTAGAATCATCTCAAGGACCCATTGTACAAAAATGTGATCCTCCCACTCAGCTTTCCATCCTTAGTGAATCTGTCATGGATTCCCAGGTAATGTATATTCAGTTCCATGCATGTCCTGTAGCTTTTTTTGTTTGCACAAAATAAGAATACTGAAAGGCAGCATTTCCAAGCAGACCTAAACCTTTCTTCCGTGTATTGATAACATGTTGATAACACACGTAGAAAATGGTGTTAAATGGAGGTGAGTTTATTTTGTGAGACCCTGGGAATCATGATTTTTTTGATTTCTTAACCTTTGAATATGAGAGACACCAACTTCTTATGTCTCATAGAAGCGCTCTCATATTAGCATGCTTTCCCTTCTAAATTCTAGAATTACCAGCAAGAGAACAAAGTAATTACAGACTAAGAAAACTCTTGTGTCACTTAACTAATTGCTGCGTGTTGAAATACGCCTTTGATTTTCTAATTAAGTCTGCATGTATGGGGATATAGCCAGTTGGGCTCCAATTTATTTCTGATAACACACACGTAAATATACCCCAGTTAACTCCACAACCTTGATTAGTCCTACAAGTTTAACTTTTAATACTTCACATTCTTTTACAATTATTTAGATTTGTTTAAAAAGTTTAAAAATTGTTTAAATTTGTTTAAAATTTAATTTAGGTTGCCTTTGTGTTCTGTTTTCTTTTCATAACGTGAATTGTACTAGGGATGCTCGCTGTGGTTTGAGAATAGGCATATGACACTCCCGGAAAGCAGCTCACTGATAAAGACCAAAAGGGCTGTGGGGGTGAAAGTGGTGGTGTCATATTCTCATGGTTCTCTAATCCTGTTTCCTACTATCTTGCACAAATATCTGCAATTTGAGTTGCAGTACTGCTGTGTCGTGTATTTCGGTGTGGTATTTGTTTTTTGGGTTTTTTTAATAAGAAGAGTTAACTGTGGCGTCTTTATAAGCTGTATCACTGGATGCATGCTGCAGGATAGGTTTAGATTTTTAAAAGACACATGTACTGGTAGTTGTCTGCTGAGCTTCTGTGAGATTTTCTTTTCCTTATGTGCCTACAAAAATCATAGTGAAAGGCTATCTGGTGAAGCCTGAAGTACAGAAACCTGGTAGTTTGAGGAACCCTAATTCCAAATCTGATTGCTTAAGTTTTGCTATGAATGTGGTATGTAGGACTGTATTTTGTTCTGGTTGCATTTTACACATAGAATATAAATGTAATTTTGCAGATCTTATTACAAGGTTGTTTAGCTTGTAATGTCAAATGGCTGAAATTTTAGAAATGCTGTAATTATGTGGCTTTTCCCATCTTCTGCCTGCAGTATCTCTGTATTTGTTTTGGTACAGTCTTTAAAGCTTTTTTTATCCTACAGTGTGTGTAGTGTCTTTCTTATTTAATACAAATAATCCAAATAAAATATTAAATATTTAATTAATCACTTCCTGTGCTATTTTCAGAGGCAATTGTCAGTATTAGTATTTCTTAGGTACTAAAGTCCCCCAAAACTCTTCCCACAGAGGGGTGTGTTTTTCCTTCTTTCTTTCTTTCTTTCTTTCTTTCTTTTTTTTTTTTAATTTTGTTTTGGAGGTAGAGACTGAAATGAATGTTTTTGTTTTTTTCTTGAAATAATTTCAGAAAATTGATCTCTAACTTCTTCCTAAAGACAAATTGAAATTGCTCTGAAGTCCCTTTTGTTTTCTTTGTTGAATCCTAAAAAGGCTCATAATGAAGTGGAAGAGGAAGCATTATCAATCTATCAATCAGAAGATGGACACCATGACACTCTGAATTTCAAATCCAGCATCAATTCTGACAGGTCAATACAAATATATCCAGTCAGGTTTCCACTCCACCTTCTTAACACTGGAAATAGATGGAGTTGAAAGGGTGTTGCATGGGTATAGTTAAGTTACTTTTTCTGTTGTGTGTCCCTCCCACCCCGGCTTCCCGACCTCAGAATTCTAGGGAAACCCCTTGTAACATTCAGACTGGGGATGAGCAGGGAACTCACCTGAGCAGTTATAGATATTTCAAAAAGCTCTTTCTAGATAATCTAGAATCATGCTATTATCCTATTATAATTCACTATTATGCTTGTTTTGAATGTAGGCTACTTAGGTTACTGAGAGAAGAAAATTCCTTGGTGAATTCTCAGTTGTGGGCTGAAAAGGATATGAGAAAAAGTGCCTTATCACCGGAATCAAATGTGCCTTTGACTCCAACAACTGTTTCTCCATCGTTGGATCAGTCAGGTTGGATTTGCCAAATCACAGCCTCTCAAGGGTTGTTAGGCTGTTCACAGGATCCTGTCTGGAATTCCTTTTCTGGGTGGGGGTGAGAGACAGACCATGTGACTTAAAAAGCCAGCTCTTCTAAAAAAGTTACTGTATAACATATTACTATGTTATAAGAACATACCCAAAATATTTCATGTGTGTATTTTTTGGTCTGTTTTGTGTTTAAATCAGCCCTCAATGGTACCAATGTAGTCAAGAGAATCCATTCAAGACTTCAGAATGAAGACGAAGAAGAGACTGTAGACTCCACTTACACTGTGAGACAAGTGCTGAACCCAAACTCAAGGAAACAAAAGCAAATCGCAGCAAAAAGTTTAGTACTTTTAAAAATAGCATACCTCCCTTTGACCAAGGTCCTTAATATCATAAGAAAATGTAGGTTGAAAGGGATCTTTGGAAGTCGTTGCAGAGCTAACTCCAAAGTTTGATTGGGGGGGCCTTGTCCAGCCGAGTCTTGAGCATCTCTAAGGATGGACATTCCACAGCCCCTTGTGTGGTGTGTTCCCCTGTATTCTGCACATTCATTGGCGAAGCAAAGTCCATAGGAATCTGGGAGCCATAAATATGGCCCTTTGATGCTACCCGTTACCTTGCTAGCCGTGGAGTTCTCTCCTGTGCAGGGCTTTTCTATTTCTGATACAGCTTTCTATTCTATGCTGCACAGATTTATGATACGTTGCAGTCCCCATATTCTACACGCATTTGTATGTGGGAACTGACATCAGATACAAACTGTAACATGAAAGGATTGTTGTAAAAGAGTTGCTCACTAAATATGAGACCTGAAAGCAGCTGATCTTTTTCACTGGCTGTTCACTGGCAAACTGTTCCCATGCTTTTAACTGAGAAGGAGGAAAGTATAAACAGGTATCTAAGATAAAAGCACCAAACAATCATGCTTGAGAGGTACTAACATGGTGGCAGAAAATGTGTTTTTTGATAATCTGAAAATAACTGGAATGACTGGGGACGTTCTTTGATGATCCATTTCAGCTCAGGGCAAGAGAGGGCCTCTCCTTTGATTTATTTCAATAAACAATGTAATTTCATTGGTATTGCAAAGCTTTCTATACAAGTTGAAATTCCAATGACACTTTTTTTCCCCTCCCCTCAGTGAAAAGAAAACAAGCTGCACAGAACTCTGCAAGACAGAGGAGAGATGATTCTCCAGCTAATTCAATCCCCATTGACATTCAGAGGAACAACAAATCCAGCTTAGATGTTCTCAACCGCATGATAGGTGAAGTGGAGCATGAATTGGAGGAATATGAGCGATGTACAGGTCGTGAGGTTCAAAAAACTGAGAGAAGTGAAGGCCTCACTGGGTTTACCTTGTCACTAGTGAACGCTCTCTGTCGTTTGATGCGCTATCTCAAAGAGGTGAGAAGACTTTAAATTGCTTCTGTAGAGTGGATGAAAAAGTATAAAGTTACTTTGCAGATGTGAATTTTGGTCTTTCCTAGCTCCCAGTCAGTTTACTTTGAAGTCTGATTATCATTGCTTATTATTTGGATTGCATGCAGTTAGGAGTTAAAACTTTTAGTTTGCTAGAAACAGGTATCCCTAATGAAAAGGGAGGAGTTGACTGCAATGAAAGTCTCTCAGTGACTATTAGCAGAAAATACCAATTGAAATTGTTTTAAATTTGTTATTTAAATATATTCAGAGTTGTAGCAGGGTATTAACTACAGCCTTGTTTGCAAATTCATTTTCTTCCTTTGCCTCCCAAAGGCGATGCTATTGTCACTACAGCAGTGGATCCAAATCCCTAATTTTCTATGAGGGATTCCTTAGCTCTCTTTTTCTATCCATAGCAACAACTTTAGCTTAAGCAAGAATGACCTGAAGTGCTCACTATAGCAGTGCACAGCTGGGGATCAATGGAA